GTATGAAAAATAGCATTTAAGAAATGAGACTTTCTAAATGAATTTCATGTCTTGATAAGCAAAAATAAAACTGGGAGCTGAGATGAAGGGAAAAATCATAAATGCAGGAGGTAATTTATGCTGGGATGATAATTTATAAATGCCCTTAAACAATTGTCCAATAGTTCTTAATATAACCTGTATGTAACCTGAAGTTTTCCTTTCTGAAGTTTAGAATAAGGCATATTTAATGTCCAGGTATAAAATTTGTACTAATCTAAAAGCACATTAAGTATCCTAGTACTGGCCTCTGCGCAATACTAAAGGGGTGCGAAATCTCAGCTGAGTCTGAGACTGAGAATACAGAGGTTGATTTTAAGGTGAAATCCAACTGCCTTTATATTTAGTGATCACTTTCTGTGAATTATATGAAGTCTACAGTCAGGTTCTGAAATGATTAAAACTACTAAATGAGATTAGGAGATTACTAGATTGTCACTCTGAGTGGGCCATATAAAAAATGGTAGGAAGGCCTATGAAAAAAAGTATAGTCTCAGGGGTAATGGCTGAATAGATCAAATTTGCCCTTTCCACATGCTGTCTCCCCTCCATGCCCTCCCTTCTGTTTCTCCTCTTGGTGTCTTCATGCTTCTTTGAGACCCTACCTCAGAGAACTGGAGTGCCATGGAGCCTTGCCATTCAAACCATGGTCCTCTGGCCAGCTGCGTGAGCATCAGGCGGGAGCATGTTAGAATTACAGGCTCTCAGACTCCACCCCAGATCTAAATTATCAGAACCTTCATTTTAACAAGGTTTTCAAGAGATTCCTATGAACAGAAAATTCTGGGAAACACTGCTTTTGCGTGCCAGTGGCTCAGGGTATTAGTAACAGCAAGCTATTCTGATAAACGCCCCACTGTTAATTGGCGTTTGGTATAGTAGGAGCGTATTTCTGAAGTCACGATGCTGACACTCTGTGGTTTTTATCTTGGGTTCTACAGAACCAAATGTAGTTTTAAAGGTAACACAAAGATTTTATTTGAATTTTATTTAAAACTGTTTTAACTTTTAAACACTGTAGAGAAAACAAAATAAAATGCCTTCAAAGTGCTTTGAAGACTACTAACACATTCAGTTATGCTGTCCGATTAACATTTTTTAGATATGAAATAAAATTTATTCTGCTGTCCCTGTTTATTAAGTAGTGTCAATGGATTACAAAGTGAACTGCTACAAAAAAAACAAAGCTTGTACCATTTGCAGTTTCTTATGTCTGTAAATACCAATTTTCTCCATGCTTTGCAATTGAAATCAAGTATAGAAATAAAAGACAAACTCTGGGTGAAATAAAACTACACTGTCACCCATAATCCTGGATAGAATTGTCACATCCATCCAAACAGCCACTCAGTCTGTAGTGATTGATTTTATATTAAGTAATTGTTATACATTTGAACTTTCAAAATATAGCTTTTGTTTGTTTTATGTATTGGAGTACAAATAAATTTCATTTTGAAAAAACTGCATTCTAATTCTAAAGCATTTTGGAAAGCATTGCCACAACTGAAAGGTGATTCCAGTTGAAAAAGTCTCGGACACCAGGGCCGTCTGGGGGCAGAGTTAACTGGATGCCTCATTTCTTCTGGAGCCCTTTGATCATGCCAAATTGATACCTGCCAACTTCTCCCCCGTGTGTTCCTGATCCTGGTCAGGTGGTTCTGAAGGAGCAGCAGGAGAGTCATTTTGATTCATTTTTGATGTGAATCAAACTTTCAAGCTAAGACATGCTATGAAACAAATTACGCTTTTCCAGTGACCTACTAAAATAATTAGTTTACTAGAGCAAGTGTGTGGACTTACGACTAAAATCATACATAAAAATAATCCATATTTCTCATAGTAAAAGAGGTATTTCCTCTAAAATTATTTCAATTCCTTGGCCTAATGTTCTAGTACTGCATTCATCCATTCCCTCAGCTGGTCTGTCAATAGGCATTCACTGGGAGTGGGCAAGGCACCTTGGCCTGCTAAGAATCCTACGATGAAAATCCCTAACTGCAGAGTCTCACAGTTTAGGAGACAGATGCTCAAACAGATAATTACTAAACAACGTGATAATGGTATATTGGACACATGCAAATGGTTCCTTGGGAGTACAGGAGAAGAAATGAATAATTAGGAAGGGGTAAGTAAGTTAATTCATATTTTGTTTTGCTTAGTAGCCTGTCCTAACATTTTTTTCTTTTAAATACAGTGATCAAGTATTAGGGTTTGAAATTGCATTTGAATCAACTTGATTTGGAAATAAAACATTTCTCATAATTAAGAATTAAAATGCCAGTAATCAGCATAAGGATCATGTCAATTTTAAAAATATAAACTATAAGAAAAAAACATTAAAAAATAAAATATTCAAGTCCCATTTGAATAAAAGGTCACTTTTAAGGAAATCCATAATCCTAAATTTTAGAAGTATTCAGCTAATCTCACTTAATGGTTGTATGCTTCTCATGTGTGTGTAAGTAACGATAATCATTTTTATCATTAAGATGTGGATTTTCTGCTTTGTGCATTATTTAGAGCACATTTAGATTTCAACCTGGTTTTCCTTTGCAACTCAGTACCCTTCTGCACTACTTCCCCCTGAATTAATTGATATAATGAGCTGATGTAGATTTCTTTCACTATTAGGCTGAGCTAATGTTAACCCACAACTACTTAGAAAGTAAATATACCACACAAAGGCAAATACGTACTAAATTCCAAAATTACCATCAAGGATGTTTTTTAGTTTTTATGTAATCTTGGACTGTCTGTCCCGTTGCTTCCTCCCATGATCTGAAAAGGAAGGACTGCTGGATATAAATACTTTCTACTGAAGCCCATGACTCGGCACCTGGAGAGGGTAGTGGCTATGGAAATGGACAACCAACCAGGGACCACCCACTGCCCATGGTTCTACCTCCTTATCACTGCTTTCTCGCTTACCCTGCTGGGAACAATTTTCAACACTTCAGTTATAAAACTGCAACTCCTCTTTTAAGGCCCAGGAGAAATGCTCTAAACTTTATTAAGCCTTTTATTTACGTTCTACCCATAACTACTCTAGTATCCAAGTTTCCATAGCATTTCATATCTCTTTGATGACTCATCAAATTCTGCCTGGTATTGTATTTTGCAAGAATCTTATCTCCCACCCCCACCTCGACCTAGGTTATAGGATCTTTGACGAAGGACCACCTTTGTAGCCTTGATAACACCAAGCCCAAGTTCATATGAAACATAAGTGGCTGTTAAATGTAGAGTGAATTTTCCATCCCCCTCATGATAATCCAACATCATGCCTTTGCTTATATTGTATTTTCCCCCAATAATGTTCTTCATCTTATTGTCTTCTAATTCTGTCCATTTATTGAGGCTCAAACCAAAAGGTTTTTACTATGCCTCACATCTACTTATGATCTCTCATGTGAAACTGCATGGTGCATTATTTGTCCCTGCATTATGCCACTTTTCGTTTCCATCTTATATTATAGTTTTCGCGTATACAATGTGTCCAGTTTCCTAAGCTGTAGGCTCTTGAAGCGCAGTGAATAGAATCTTAATTCATCTGCTGTTTCCCGCAGTGCTGTGTGTTTAGCACATGCTCAATAAACATCTGTTGCATGACTAAAAGTTTGCCAAGAGTTGTAGAGGAAGAGCATTCCTACATAAGAATCGGAAGTCCCATGTCAAACTGGGCTATGCCCTGCTACAGTAGTTTTAGGCGCTGCTGATGGTAAATCAAGAATGGGGGATGGAGAACTCTATCTCTGAGGCCAGCCCTATCATATTTTGCAGGAGGAAGCTACCAGGACATTATGATGAAGGGGTTCCACGTGAGGTGGCTCTCTCTCAGTCCACCCTGTGACCCACTACTATAGATTCTGCTATTTTAATCTGGGTAGACTTTTCTATTTTAGAGAGTTTCTTATTAAAATCTAGAAATCTTTTGTGAATACTAACACATAACAATTAATACCTTTGTTATCTGTGAGCATCTTAACTAGGATTATAAAGAATCAGATTGTGGGAAGTTGGAGAGAGGAATTGATGAGAGGGATAAGGGGATAGGAGCAGGAGCAAGGAAAGAGATTGTACTGTTGAAACAGGAGTGTTTCTGAACAGATTTTGACTTCACTATTGCTAGGGTACAGACAAGCTATGAAACTGTGCCCTGGAAGCTGTGGTCCAGATGTTCATAGCTCCCATTTATGGGCTCTCTATTTTCTGCCTATTAGTTATCCAGTTATGAATATTATCTCCAAACCTTAAAACTACGTATAAGTAGTTTTATAAGGTATAATTACTCCATTTTTCAAATGAGAAAATTGAGATTCAGAATGGTTAAACTATATAGTCGCAATTGGCTATCTAGCAAATAGAAAAACAAAGATTTGAACACAAAACCTGCAGTTTTTCCTCTATATTATGCTTGCTGCCTCTTTAAATAGGTAGCTTTCATTAGCCAGCTGGGCGTAGGGGGAAATAGAAATCTTTTCTTATAAGTTTAGTGTATTCTCATTGCAGTTGCCAGGGCATTATTTCAAAAGCTCAAATTACTATGAAAAACTCAGTGTTACCCCTTTCTGACTTGGCATTGGCCTTGATAAAGAATAGGACAAGAAACAAGATGGCTAATCTTCCATCTCTCACCAGGAGGAAATTTAGCTAGCGTCTTTGTTTTTGTGCAAAAGGAAAATAAAATGAATCTGTGATATGTAAATGAATCTCTCAACTGTTTGTTAATTTCTACTGTTTACTCAAAAATGGGAAACACCAGGCCTGTGATACATCATCTTTTGTGTGCTTGGCACCTTCCATCACGAATCATATTAATCTGCTTAAACTAACAAGGATTAATTGCCTTGGTAAGGCAACCTGGCGTTGAAATGATATATTGCCCAGACAGCTTGGAATTTGGCCACTCATAAATCTCATTTGTTTGTTGGTTTATTTCTATTTGTCTCTTTCTCTGACAGATGTGTGCCCAATCACTGTGAGCATGGTGGGAAGTGCTCACAAACGTGGGACAGCTTCAAATGCACTTGTGACGAGACGGGATACAGTGGGGCCACCTGCCACAACTGTGAGTGCCAATTCATCTCACTTTAAACTTGTAATTGCATGAGAAGCCCGGGTCTTCGCAATCCTTTAAAGCCCAGCTGCCTGAATAATCCACATCCTAAATCACTTGATTCTGAAGAACCCATTATTGCTTCTCCAGAATAGTATTCTCAAGTGTCAAAATACATTCTCTCATGCCTACTGACTCAAAAAGAAGGACCACCATTTCCAATGTCCAATAAACATTGTAGTTGAGATCGGAATGCTGATCTGAGATTTGCCCCTGTGTGTCTCAACCATGTCTGTCTGGGTAGATTGTTTGGCAAATTGTGTTAGGGTGATGTCTCTGACTGGACCCTCATTCATCAATTCATCAGAAAGGCAGACAGAGTGTAATCTGAACATTCAGTTTCTGGACAATGGTCGTCTCATGCTCTACCACAACTATTTGGTCACATTTTTTAGATCAGAAAAATGAGTTAGAAGGTGGAATGAAGTCTATTAAATTGTGTATCTAAAATAAAAATACAGGAAAGCAAATTTTTTAAATATTAAAAATAAAAAGTAACGTGCAAAGATGACTAGTAAAACGGATGTGCTTTATTTTACATAATAAATAGCTTTACCCTGAAAAGTCGAATAAAAATTGAATTTTTGTAATTCAAAGACTGTTTTTAAATGAATGTTAACTATGTAACATTAATTTTTCAAAAATGCTTTGCTGTTTACAAAGCACTTTTGAAAAGAGATTTGCCATGAAATGTATAGTTGAAAGAAGGTCATTTGTTGTGTGTGTGTGTGTGTGTGTGTGTGTGTGTATAGGGAGGAAAGAAAGGAGAGAGAAAGAGAAAGAGATTAAATCTTCTCTGAATATGCTGAAAAACTGATATAACATCTGAAAATATAATATCTAAACCCTCTAATTATACAGACTGCTTTCACTTTACTTCACTTTTAGGAAACAATGGCAAGCAAAATATTATCAAAGTAGAGTTCTGGGGCCAGTAAAAATGCAGTACAGTTAGTTGTCTGAGCCTTTTCGTATTAGCATTTGTAGTAATGAACAGTAAGAAATTATGTTCAGAATATATTGTAAGACCTCAACTAAGCAAAAATATTTGTAATTTCTTTTATTGTACTTGTTAATTTGTTTAGGGAGATATTCGAAAACAAGAGACAAAAAGAACTCCTAGAAAAATTAACATGTATAGGAAGATGTACAGGAGAATAAAAACAAATAAACAGATTTATCATCTGTAAAGTATTTATATCTAGGTATGTGAAAAAGTATTTTAATGAATAAAGAACCAAACTGATATTGAAGTTAATTAGAATAAAGGAATTATAACTAAAATTGTTCCTTTCCCATCATATCAGAATGTTAACTTTCAGCATATGATATTTATATGATAAATGATGCTTGAATTAAGTAACTTTGATAAAACTAAGTGCCTTCACTCCACCAGTATAATTTATATATTGGGCTGTAAATACCATTTTTAACTATAAGAGATCTTGTTCCTGAATATGGAAATTCTAACTAAAGACAAAGATCAAGAAATTGGTGTTGGTTACAAGGGTTTCCTATCTCAGTGACCCCTGGGATATTGAGTTGAGAAGCAAATAATTCTTTTTTACAGCTGCTTCCTTCATTGAAATACGTAGCAAAGAAAAAGATATTTTAAAAATATAAATTTTTTTAAATGTAAACATATGCTACTCATTGAATGGTTGAGTTTTTTTTAAGGGTAAAGAGTAATAATTCCAAGTATTAGAAATGTCCTAAGCGTGTTTAGGTTTGGCTCTATTGGCAAGCTCAAAAAGGTAAAAGAGGGCAATTATCTCCTCCCTGGTGCTCATTCCAATTCATTCCTTGTTCCATTTTTGTGTCTATAAAGATAGAATCATTCATTTTAACAATGAGACCCTGATCTCTTGTTGTCTTCTCTAAATAAGGCCAAAATCTTGAAAATCAAGCGTGTGCTTAAATAGAGGTTAGAAGACCATACTGCATAATTCAAGAAAGACTTGATTGGACACTATTTTGTTGTGAAAAACATATCTTGTAGCCCATTGAAGGGTATATGCTTCCTAATAAGCTGAAAGACTTGATATGTCTCTTAGTTACTTCCATGGATTAGTGTAAAATTGGGAGAGTCTGGCCCAGCACATAATAATGTAAAAATGTATAATATATGCCATTCAGTTTGTTACAGAATGAATAATTTTACATTTTTACTTAGTCAGTGACTGCATTCCTAGCAAGAGCATTGAAGTGAAAAGACACTGGCTTCTGATACTAGATGAGATCATCATTCTGTGCACACTTGTGGCAAGTCATTTAACTGCTCTTGGACTTCCTTTATTCCTCTAGTGACTAAATAGCTACTGAGGTCTCTTCTAGTTCTAAAAGCCAAGGAGTTGAGACTTCCAGTTGCTCATTCTGTGTTCTGTAGTTTTGAACATCGTTAATATTATTAAATATTTTACCTCATTATTTCCTGTGGAGGACCAACAATCCCTTTTGAAAAGGAGTTATGGTAATTTTATATTAGTACTACTTTAAAAAGGTAAAGAATAGCCAACTAAAATCTAAATATTTAGTAGAGCTTCAGACATTACAATTAGGCTACCAACTATTTCAACACATTTTCTACACCGATCTGGGCTTGGTCAGGAGGAGAGAGTTATTTCTCCGGTGACCTGTGATCATCCAGGCTAGAGGTTGTGATCCAAGGTGGAACCAAGGAGCCCTTTTCTGATAGGTCATACTGCCTGAGTTTGAACTTGGCTCTACCACTTACTTGCTTGTAACCTTGGGCACGTAAACTCTTTGAGCTTCTGTTTCCTCCTGTGTGAAATGGGTGTAGTGACAGCACCACTTCATAAAGCCATTGTGAGAGTCAATGAGATGATTTATGGAAGATACTGAGAAGAACTTTAGCATATGTTAGTACTCAATAAATTTTTCCCATTTTATTCATTTCAGGACAATCACCCCTTTGCTCTGAACTTCTATACCAATTATTGTCCATATCATACAATTTGTCACTAATTTCATGCCGCCATTCATTGTTTGCTGTCATTTCCATAGCAGATTTGGGCTTGAAGTGAATGATTGGTTTCCATAGCTTTTTTTTTTTTTTATTGAAGAGAATTAAAAGTGATCTCGATAGGTCCTAGACCTACATCTATTTGCTTATTTGTTTGTTTATACATGGAGAATTTATTTTCAAATAAATTCTATGTAGGGCTCAAAGATTGTCACTTACAAACCACTCTCCTGAGAGTCAGGATATCTTCCTCTGAGTGAGGAAATCCCACAGGGAGAACCAAAGATCACCGGAGATAGTCGGACCACAGGAAAGGGAAACCAGATTTGTTGTCTAAACACTAAAGAGGCTAGTTTGTGACAAGTGCAAATACATTAAATTCTTGTGGTTTTATACCTTTTAGATTTTCTTCTGCAGATATTTCATTATCTGTGAATTTCTAAGAACTGACTAGTAGCATATCGGAACATAAATTATAACAAAGAGCTCTGTAGAATCATGGTGTTGAATGGTTTCTTTATTTGTTTTCTTATATTGACTTATCCCTACTTCACTCTCCCAAAAGTATAAGAATCTGTCTTTCTTGTGAGCAAAACTTCATGTTTGTAGCTACAGTCTTTTTCTCTTAGTGGTGCTGTACAGACACTTTTTAATCGGTCTCTAAGCTTACTTTCCAATACTTCAAATGCTCTTTAGTATCTAATTATCATCTCATTTTTTCACATGTTCCTTACACTTCATAATTATGCCACTAATTTACATAAATTAAATTCAAAAAGCCATCCCTTATCTCAGGGCTTAGTAGATATTTTTTCTCATGTTGGTGAGGTCTATCTTTGACCACAG